TATGACTATATATAAAGTTTATAAAATATATAATAAATAACCATATAAAAGAGTTTAACTGGAGTTACCTACATAGGGATAATACTCATCACAGGAGATATAGGTTGCCAAACAAAAAGCCCAGTGCCAGGTGTTAGACACCTCCCTCTTGAGTTGTTGGTGAGGGGGGTCCCAGATATCCACCAAACAATACAGATTATTGCCATTGCTCTTGGTGGCTGTGGTGGTTTGAATCTGAGAATGTACCACATAGGCTCAAGTAATTGAATACTTGGTCAGTTGGTGGTGCTTGTTGGTGAAGGTTATGGAACCTTTAGGAGGTACGGCCTTGCTGAAGGAATTACATCACTGGGGGTGGACCTTGCCTCACTTCCAGTTTGCTCTTTTGCGCTGCTGTTCAGGATGTGAGCTCTAAGTTTTCACTCCAGTTGCCATACCTGTGTGCTGCCATGCCTCTTCACTACAATGGACTCTTCTCTAGAACTATAAGCCCAATTAAACTTTTTCTTCTATAAATTGCCTTGGTCCTGGTATTTTATCACAACAGAAAAGTAACTAATATGGTTGCCTACCAGACTTTGACAGTAAGACCCTACTGCTGCAGATACCACATTCTTTGGTCATGGAACATGGAAAAATCAAGTTGCAACTGATGAGGAAGCATCCTCCCGGCTGGCTAGCTTTCATAGTACCAAAAGTTGCTATAGAAGTAGTTGGGGCAGGGGAGAGAGGAGTCACCAGTTTCACTCAGTTGTGAACCTGTGAGCTATAATAATGACCAACAAGGCATGGGATGCCCATGGGTGCAATAGTGGCATGAATATTATGAGGGTAACCACCCCCTCCCTCCATAGGAGGAAACACAGGCTTGGTACTATAAATCTGGCCAAGATCCCATGGTTAGGGAGCTCACAGGCCCCAGGGGTAAACCTACTACTATTATTTTGCTAAATGGAGATATCATCAAACTACCCTCTAAATTCATATTTCTATACCTAAAGATTATTAGTACCACTCTCAGATCTCATTAGAGAAGTTTCTTGAGCAATGAACAGTGGTTATCACAGAAACTCACAACTGGTCAAAGTGCAGAGAATAAGTGTCTGTGCAATGCTCAGTCACCAATGGGACATCTACATCATCCCTCCCTGCAAGGCTCTGGGATCACCTTGGAAGAGGAAGTGGAAAGAATGTAAGAGCTAGAGATTGGGGAATAACAAAGCAAAATGGTGCATCCTGTGCCTGACAGCACTGCTACACTCATGCACTCATAGGAGCTGTGGTTGCCTGCATAAGACCTGCACAAGATCAAGCCAACTGACACTCTAGTATAGGGGAAGGGCTTAAGAGGAGCTATTGACAGCTGATGGCTTCTGGGAGAGGAAGAGTAAGTTTTCCTTAAGGGTGTGGCCTCTGGTAAGTTGACCATGCTCCCTTAGATGGTCCCATACCCATGAGTATATAGGCAGCACAAATTAAGATTCAATGGGGGAGAGATGGGGACAGAACACAAAGTTGAGAAGGGGTGAAGGGGTGGGAGTGAGGTAGATCTAGAAAGAGTTAGAAGGAGGAGTGGGGGTGACTATGATAAAAACACACTGGACTTCTCAATGAATTAATGCAAATATTTTTTCAAAACTGGGTATGGGGGCTGAAGAGATGGCTCAGAGATCTTGCAGAGGACCTGAATTTGATTCCCAGCACCCACATGGTAGCTAACAACACTCCATAATTCCAGTTTGGGGGATCAAACACCCTCTTCTGACCTCCACGGGTACTGCACGACATGGGTGCACCTACCTACATGCAGGCAATATTCATACACATAAAATTTTAAAAATATTAAAAAAATAAAAACATGATGTGGACACACGTGCCTCTAACCCCAGTGCTGAGTGGAGGGAGGGGTGAAGTCAGGAGGTTCCTAGGGACCAGGTGGCCAGCCAGTCCAATCAAAACACTGAGCTCCAGTTTCAGTGAGAAACTGTCTCAAAATAATAAGGTGGAGGGTAATAGAGGAAGACACAAAATAGACCTAGCTTCCACATGTGCATATACATGAGATAGGACACCTACCCACATGTACATATACAAATGCACCCCCCAAATTTTAAGTGTTATGTAATGCTGAGGCCACAATAAGAAATAGCACTATGATGTTTTCAGGAAGATTTTCACTTAATTCTGGTATGCAAATTATGACTGCTTTCCTTTAAATAATAGCCACTATCTTATGACCAATTCAAGTAGATTTGTAAAGATTTTTACATATTGAGTTTTCCGCCAGTAAAAACAAGTTTCTTAGGCAATACTATGTAATTTCTAATCAAATACCTTAAAACAAAATGTTGAACTCACAAATTTATGGATAACCTCATCATTGTTTATAATATTAAGAAAAACTCTGTGTAAAAGAACAGAATCATATACTATTGAAACTTTATAAACATTATCTCTTCAAAATAACTCCGAAAACTCTTTGATATATCATCTTACATATTAAAATTACCAACAAAGATATTAACTTGTCCTAAATTGGTTAAGGGGGACAACTTGCTTCATTGTCAAGGGAGTTACAATTACAATTCTTTAAAACAATTCCCCATAGACAGCAGATCATTGAAGCTGGTAGGGGGAAGGAACCTGCCTTATTTTCACTGCACTTAGTATCTACAAATTTTCTTAAGTGGTACTTTTTAAAAAGTTTTGTACTCTTATCTAGCAAGGGTCGTATAAAATTTCACAAAGGATAAACTTCTTAATTTGAGGACTCCCAGAAGACACTGTCAGTGTAAGTGGTCTGACTTAGTTTTCAAATAATAGGTGAAACCTGATCCCTCTTGTGACCACTTCAAGTTTGTCTAGAAACAAATTTATTTGTTGATACTGGATATGGCTGGATTATACCAAATTAAAACAAGGATAATTTATGAATCAAACATTCAACTGAGATAGACAAGTTTTGAAGGTAACAAAGAAAACATTTTTATAGATTTCAGTTATTTTTGAGCCTTCCTGTAAACTTAATGTTCTTTTGACTGTATTGTGGAAAGAGTTAAAAGCAAAGCTCCTTAGGCAACATTGCTATTACAATTTTAAGCAAACTTGTCATTTAAAAACAAAATTTTTACACTCCACTCTTTCAAGCATCAATACATGAAAGGTTAACAGAAGTTTTCAATGTACTTCCCTAAAATATTTCACAACTAATTTCATGCTACTTTTTAAACAAAATAAAAACAAATATACTTACATGACACATTTAGATATTTAACAAGTATGTGCTTACCTTAATGATTTAAATTTTTTACATAAAAATGAACATTTTAATGTCTACTATAAAGCAACTTTTAATAAAAAGACATTTGGAAAGTATCCTACTCTTGATTTATTAAACCCATATTAATACATAGTACTTAGATTTACAGATGAAGTCAGAGATAAAATCATATACACAGAAGGGCTACAGAAAACAAGCTGTGTGACTGGAGGTGTGGGTCTTACTCATCTTTGAACCTGAAGTTTGCTAACACACTGCTGGCACACTAATTACTCAAAACAGAAAGTAGTCCAACTGAAGTTGGCTATTCATTGGTAAAGCACCAACAAACAAACAAGAACCCTTTCTTAGAATTTTAAACACTTCTCACAGGAAAGAGAATCAGCAGAAAGAAAACACTGCCATATGCTGTCACTGAACACAGCCATTTACAGAATAATCCCAGAAACTAAAGTTTTGCACAAAGAACATAATAGTGTCTGGGTGCCAAAAGATATAATTTTGTTCCAACAGTCCCCTGACATAAGGAAAGTTAACTTTCCTTAATTATCCTAAGAAACACCAGTCTAGGGACTCCTCCAGTTGCAATGTGGTAAGCTGCTACACCCACCCAGCCATGCACAGCTGAACATCAGCTTCCAATATCAAAACAGCAGCTGATACGATATACACAAGTTTTGTCAAAAGTAAGGAATACAGGGTTAGATTTGATGTGACTCTGAGTTGTCAATAACTCATCTAAAGCCAAAGCCACAATCATAACAGGAAACCTGTGGAAAAATGTGTCATAGGAGTAACAAGAATCATGATGGTCATTACAGATACACTTACAGATCCTCGGAGAAGTAAAATTGGAACCCCAATTCCAAACTTCTCCTGTAGGACATCTATAGCAGACAGGAGCTGGAATGCTTGTGGACCAAAGTCCTGTGATGTGTCCTCTGACTCATAAATGGAATAGCAACGATTCAATCTAAAAACAAAGTAGTAATACACCAAGAACTAAGAAACCATAGACAAAGCATGCTCCTTAGAAATCCAGGATGTTAACAATTAGACATGCAAAAGCATTTCTAATGTATCAAATGCTTCAGAAGCTACAAAAAAGTTTGCTACAACCAAGGGTCCATGAATTACCCAAAACATGAGAAATAAATCATAAAGCAGCATCAGAGGATGCTACCCTAAGTGTTTCTTGTAGTGCCCCAGAAGCTGGGTTTTGTGGGGGGCACTGGAGCCATTAGCTAGAATGCAACCATGTTTATGAAAGCAAAGCTGAAAGACAGCTACAGCAGCCCCACCTGCCCGACATACAAATATTGGACTCTTGTGACAGATAATGCTGGAAAAGGGGGTTAGCACAAAAAAGTATTTAACCTAAAAAATGCTATGCAATAACATATTGGTTTGAACCCTAATAATTATAAAATACATCAAAACTATAAACTTTTCTTGCAGGGACACTTAGCAATTAATTCCTAAGTCATCCTTCAAGTAGATACAAAATTATCACGAATGTGCATGAGAATTCTTTAACTTGAGAACAAAAGGAATCCTTAGAGACTGTCAACTAATACACTGCGGTTACCTAATTCACTTACTTTCTATATTATACATATCTTTGAAAGCAGTAAGAACACATTCAGTATTCCAGAAAAAAAATACTATTTGAACCTGCTTAGGTGATGCTCTCTTCAGAGTAAAGTTATCAAGTTCCCATAAAGTATAATCTAAATTATATCTTATCAGTTTAAGTATGTATTACTGTAGTTATCATTAATTTCTAAAAAATTTTAAATTTCCACCCCTAACAATGCTGCTTTTGACTTACTTATTGCACCTAGGGATACAACTAACTCAAGGAGGCATATCATTTGTTTTTATTTTATTTACAGCATAATATACAGTTAAATTGTGTGTATCCATATGCACAGATTCATCAAACCTTCACCACAAACAAGAAACAATTCATTTCTCTCAAATCCCCATTCATACCACCCCTTTGGAACATTTTCTCTTTGCCTTTTAACCTCTGACAACTGATGATCTACATCCCTCCAGTTCCATGTTTCAGATATTCATTAAAATGCTTGGTAGAATTTGTCATTAAAGCCATGTGAGAGTTTTATTTTCAGAAGTTTTTAAGGAGGAATTCAATCCTTATAAAGGTTATAAGAACAATCAGGTTATCTGTTTCATCATGACTCAGCATTACCACTTAAAAGCTATTAAGGAATTGGTTCATAGTTCTATACTATTGGATTTATATAAACTGGTCTGTTCACAAAGTTCTCTGATTTTCACTTTTATGCCTATGGGTGTCTGTAGTAAAATCCCCTTTACTTTGATATTGACAATCTGTGTCCCCCTTATTTTGTCAGTCTTGTAAAAAGCTGTACTGACTGTCACAGATGAAGAATTTTTGAGTTCACAGACTTTCCCCTACTGGTCTTCTTTTCTAGTTCACGGACTTCTGCTTTATCTTTATTATTCCCTTCCATTTCTTTTCAGTTTATTTTGATTTATTCACTTGTTTATTCTTTTTATGTTGTTGATGGTTTTTGAGACGGGGTCTCACTATGCAGCCCTAGCTGGTGGCAGACCCTTGATCTTCATTTCTGAGCCTCCTGATCCTGGGATTAAGGCATGCACATCACACCTGGCATTCCTCACCCACTTGTTTGTCCATTCATTCCACTGATGACTGACTGTAAGCAGATGATGATGCCACCAAATACACTTGTGGGTTTCTCTGCTTCTCCTTTTAGCTCTGTAAGTTCTTTTGATACGTATATGTGCAGTTGTGGTTATGTCTTCTGGGCTGTATGATTAATGTACCAAATTGGCTAAGCTATGGTGGTCAGACAATAATCTAGATGCCACTGAAAATGTGTTTTGTAGATCTGATTAACATTTACAGTCAAATGACCTTAAATAAAGGAAACTACTCTCAACAATGTAGGTAAGTTTGATCCACTGAATTGAAAGAAAACAGAATTTCTGGAGAAGGAATTCTGTTTCAATACTTACAACAGCTCTTGCCTGAGTGTCCAGATCACTGACCTGCCCTACAAGTTCTAAGACTTGCCAAGAATTCCTATCAGTCTCTTCCTCTTTTCTTTCTCTCTCCTCTCTCTCCCCCTCCCTCCCTCCCTCCCGTCCTCCTTCCCTTCCTCTCCCTCGCTTCCTCTCTCTCCCTCCCTCCCTCTCCCTCCCTTCGTCTCTCTCCCTCCCGCCATCTCTCTCTCCTCACTGCTGTTTCTCTGAAGAACTCTGATACTTCTGCATATCGTTCTTCATCCCCCATACTGATCTTTGCTCCAAAGTCTCCACTGCTCAATACTAAAATATCTACTTGTTTTCTTTTCCCTTTTTAAAAAATATTCTATTTATTATTTTTATTTTATGTGTATGCATGTACTACCTGCATGTAGGTAAGTGCACCCATGTTGTGCAATGCCCACGGAGGTCAGAACAGGCTGTCAAATCCCCTGGAGCTGGAGTTACTGCAGTTGTTTGCTGCCACGTGGATGCTGGGATTCGAACCTGGGTCTTCTGCAAGAACAGTCAGTGTTCTTAACAGCTGCGCTCTCTCCAGCCCCCAAACTTCTTTTCTTTTCATTGGTGTTTTCACAATATATTCTATTTCATTCTTTTTTAATTAAAATATTTATTTAATATGTATGAGTGTTTTGCCTGTATTATGTAAGTTGCCCATAAGCATACAATGCCTGCAGAGGCCAGAGAGGGTGTCAGGTCCCCTGGAACTGGAGTTATGCACAGTTGTTAGCCGCCATGTGGGTGCTGGGAACCAAATCCAGATCTTCACCACTGAGCCATCTCTCTAGCCCCTATTTCATTCTTTTTAACCTGCCTGCATAACTGTACTTGCCCTTACAGAAAGTATATAGGATAGGTATAATTTTAAATTTAATTTTGACAATTTATGACTTTACATAGTATTTTTAGGCTACCTATATGCAAATATAACTACTGATAGAGTTAGGTCTACTATTTTATGACTTTATTATATAAAATAAAACCTGAACTATTTTGTTTTATTTTAAATAATTACTGCTTCATTTTTAAAAATTAAACTACTGATCATCCAATAAAAATTCAATTAAGCATGATTTGAAAAGAAAAATGGGTTTTTAGAATGTTCATCAAAGAGAAAACCTTACCTGAACCTGCAATTATCACAACATTGTTCAGTTCCCCTAATGCCCAAGGAGGCCTTTTGTAGCCTTTTGTCCTCAAAATGAGACAAGATGATTCTGGACAAAAGAAAGTTTAAAATTAAAGAACAAATACATACATGTTAAATCCACCACTAAAAATCAGGTAACTTCATCATCACTACCTTTATCTTGGGACCTCATTAATTCACAATTTATTCAGGCACAAATAAACCTGCCTTAAAATTCGGCATACATGCAGCAAAATATCCTTTTGAAATAATTTTAACTGTCTAGTAAAGCTTTGCTTTTTAAAAGTACCATCTAAAAAAACTTATGCTTGTAACTGATACAAAGAAATCATACATACTGTCGCCTACATCTGCTGGAATGAAGGTATTTTTCCATCTCTGCCATCATCTTTAATTTGTACAATCGAAAATTTTCATCATGTATCTCAAAAAGGTGATGCCTGCCAATTTAAAAGAAAAAAATCATAGGAATATGTAAAATGGCATTATCAATTTTGTTACTTTATTTTTAGTAACCTACAAAGCCCCACCTCTATCACAATGAAGATACTTCTATTCTTTAGAAAGGACCCTTGTATTTCTTCTCAGTGAACATCCTCTGACAAGAGAAAATTCTCCCTGCACCTTTGAAAAATTATGTATTCTATGGTTTTCAGTTTGATAGTTACACCACAGACTTCATGGTTTCTAGGCAGCTTTCTGATATATGGATCTTGAACTTTACTCAGAATTTTGTGTTTTATTTTAATTGATTTTGTATGAGGCAAAAAAGCATAAAAGCATCTGTGTAAAAATACTGAAGAAGAGGTTCAACACTCCAATATGAATCTTCATCTCTTCAGCTCTTCAGCTCTTCAGAAGATAGTTCAGTCCTCCAAAACTGTCCCTATACATTATAGGGCATTTGGAGTAATAGTAAAGTACTAAAGTTAAGGGTTGTTTTTTTTTTTCCCAACTAATTATAACTGACTTTTTAGTCAACAGTATTAACTTACTTAAAATTATGAAATAACATTAACAATATGTTTGTTTATATTTTTAAAAGTCAATGCTGCTGTAACTTATCCTGATTGTTCATTTCTAGCCTTCTGTGAAGGAATTCCATGAATTCTGAATATCAAATGATTATAAATCTCACAAGTAGTGCTGAACATCTTTCCAAGAATAAATAAAGTCTAGATAAAATAGTTTTTAGATATTGCAAGACAGAACAATGATTAGCCTATTAGAATTCAATGACAAAATTGAACCTTATCACCATGGACTTCACTCATTAATATTCTGAATATCTAACCTTCTGATTAGTTACAATACCTCTATGCAATTCTCTCAGAGTTCTAAAAAGTCAGAATGCACAAATGAACTGTTACTCAAAAATATTTTTGACAGCTCTAGTTACTCATTTGTTTCATTCTAGAAGTTTAAAATCTCAGTAATAAATTTATCCTCAGGCCTTGCTCAATTTTTTCCCTAAACATTTGTGTGTGTGTGTGTGTGTGTGTGTGTGTGTGTGTGTGTGCGCGCGCGCGTGCATGCGTGCGTGCCAGCCACAGCATGCATGTGGGGGTCAGAGAACAACTAGTAGAGTTGGTCCTCTCCTTCCACCATGCAGCTCCTAGGGACCGAACTCTGGTTGTCAAGGTTCGGTGGCTGTGTCTTTACCTGCTGAGCCATCTCACCAGACCCTTACTCAATTACTTTTTGTCCTAACCCTATAGCTTTACCTTGTGACTAATACAAAGAGCAATCAATCTATACTAAAATTTTAAGCATTTAGGCCTTCACTGAACAAAACCTTGTTGAAGAATGAAAAAGAACAGAATCTGCATCGGGTAGCCTCAACCATCATTTTAACAGGATGAACTTAGTATGTCCACTGAAAATCCTAATTTATTCCTCAACTTGGAGGTACCTTTCCAAAATCCCCTTGTCTTGGCAGACTCATTGGTAATTCTGTATAGGTGACTTTCTTCCTTGTTTTTTTTTTGTTTGTTTGTTTGTTTTGTTTTTGCCCTACTATAGACAAAATAATAAATCTTCTAAATTTTTACAAGTTGACATTGTATATTTTCCAATATAATCTAACAGAATTTAAGTGACAATTTATTCAGTACTTAAGTAAAATGGTTTTCCTTTTCTTGAATTTAAGAAGTGAACACTTATTATTTTTCCCAGCACTCTGTCAACATAGTAAGACATAACTATTTACACAGTCAACAAAGCAATTTTCACAGTCTATGATACTTGGCAGGCTTTCGTGAAACAAATTAAGGAAATAATAGTAAAAAGAGTCAAACAAGAATTGGAGTCTTTTGGAATAACCACCATTACAGTAAAGTACGAAAAAAATAGCAAAATAAACAGTATCTCGGTAAATATGATTGGAGACATGCCACACAAGGGTCTAAAGGGAAGGACTGTTCACTACTACACAGCAGCAAGATGGCATACCACAGACCTATGTCACACCTCCAAGTTAGTACTCATTTTGTTAATGCTTCATGTAACTAAAGCATGTGTGGAATTAAGTCAACTCTTCTATGTGATGAGACTCACACAAATGTTCTTCATGGATGTCCTGCTAGGCTTTTTGGGGGCAGGGGGGTGGTTCATTTAAATGCACTTACAAATTATTTGAAATTCTGGACACTACCTTAAATACTTTCTTAGAAAGAAAGACATCTGTGAGATGAAACCAGTAAATGTTTTTACCTAGTTATGTTAAAGTCTGCTGGAGACCAGAGTAAGTAACAAGAACTTGGAAGTCCATCACGGCCAGCTCTACCAATTTCCTGGTAATATGATTCCATTTCCTTAGGAGCACCATAATGAATAACTCTGCGAATGTCAGCTTTATTAATGCCCATTCCAAAAGCTATAGTAGCTATGACACACTGAGGATAAACAGCAAAACAGATTGACAATCATATTTTAACAGTTCTAAAACTTTAAAAAATACATCAGTAATTTGTTCTTCAAAGTCCCTGGCATGAAGCTTAAATCAGTATAATATCAACCAATTATTTAAAGATTAAAAGATTATGTACTTAAATACACCAGTAACCATCTGGAACTATGACACAAAATAAGACCTTGAAATATTTATAATATAATAAATATTAAATACAACTTTTATATTAGTATGAAGTCTCAAGTGTTCTTGTCTGATGACAGACTATTTTATCCTAATATTATCTTAATGTAAAAATTTCTCATTCAAGAATGTAGAGTAAAATGTAGTTATTTCTGTGTCTTTAAGATGTACTGGTATAATGCTGAAAAGATAAAACTGTCAGACTACCAAATAAGAACAAACATATTAAAATAAAATTTAAATGATTGGGGAGAAATTTAAGAAAAAATTAGTAATGAGTACACAAATATTTAAAAATATTACCAAGAATACAAAATAATAACCAAGAAAAGTAATACTGTATTACAAGGATTAAAGGTAAAAAGTATTTAGAGTAATAATTGTATACTATCTAACCAGAAATATTATGTAAATAAATTCAGAAGAGAAAAAGGGCTCTAGTGAGGGGAGGGAGGCTATGGGAGGTACCATCTGGGAAGTGGGTGTATAGTTGAATAAGATGGTTTGGGATGTTCTATGTGATATACATACATACACACACACAAAAAAAAATCAACAAATTTTTTTAAATGTATTATATTTGAGGAGGAAGCATGGAAATTTACATCATGCTAATTAGTAGAGGTGATAAACATTACCACTGAAATCTACCCGATGACTCTATACACATACACAGGTGCCAAGGATCCAAGTGCAAGTGATTATGACTAGTAATAATCAGATACATACAGATTAGAGATGCATGTGCCAACATCTCAGTGTTAGTAGCAAAAACAATGAGTCTTTCTGCAAGGAACAATATATTCTAAAATGAAACAGAAAGCTTTTTAAAGGTTAAAAAGTCATTCAATTTAATGTCTTACAGGGCTTATACCGAGTTCAATATTGTATAATGTATTAATTCAACTGTGAACCTAGAAACTTGCACCCACTTGTGAAAGAGATGTACTCTTGCTCTGGAGTGTGTTACTAAATATGTTAAAGCTGTAGTGAAATGCTTCTTCTAATCATGTAGTTATTAAAAATTAAAAAAATAAATGAATAAATACTGTTTGCTTTTTAAAAAGGGGGGGGAAGGAAAAAGACAGCGAAGCATACAAAAGATGAGTAAGCGTTCAACTTTTAAAGTGGGGAATCAATGAAGAACCACAAAAACCAATAATCAATAGTAGCAGAACATGCAAATTGCAGCCAGATAACAGAGGAAACTCCTGAAGAGAATGAACGGCCTGGAGCACTGATCCTTTTCAATGAAGACATGACAGAACTATTTCCATGTGCAAATGATAACAATTAAAGTGTCATTAAAAATATATCTGCTAGACAAATATAGCTCTCACCATTCATCAAAGAAGCTTCTTTTTGCAACAGATTGAGACTATTACAGAGTTCTACAACTGGCCAAACACAGAGACTAAGTATATGTGAGATGCCTATTCCTAAGTGACACATCTACAATGCAACCTCTATACCTAAGGCTCAGGGAACATAGCAGAACAGGGGAGAGAGAGAGAGACTTTTTTTTTTTTTTTCTAAATTTTTATTTCTTCAAGCCTCCATTGGCCTGGAAGCCTCCACCTCATACATTCATGAACCAGCCCCGGCTCTTACAATCTTTCCGCTTTCTCTTCCACAATGGTCCCTGAGCCACGGGTGGGCGAGATTCCATATAGGAGTCCCATCCTATACTCTACAGTCTCTTATTCTCCACTTTTAATCCTAACACTGGTAAGGTGGAGAAAGAAAGAGCCCTAGTCTCACTGCCCACCCAGCCTGGCCTAATTGGGGAGCCACAGGTGTCAATGAGAGACCCTATCTCAAAAACCAAGGTGGATGGCTCCTGAGGAATGACACCCGAGGCTAACCTCTGGCCTCCACATACATGTGCACATATTCACAAACATATATGCCCATGCATATACACAGACAACATGCACACACATCGACAGGGAGACTCATGGACCCCCTTTCTCCTCATATCAACTGCAACCAGATTTATTCTATTTTAAACTGTTTTACCTAATAGATAAAATTTCACTTAAATTTAAATTTTTAAGGCTAGGGGCTGGGGAGATGTCTGAACAGTTAAGAACACTGGCTATTCTTGTAGAAGATCCAGGTTCAAATCCCAGCACCCACATGGCAGCTACCAACTGTCTGTAATTCCAGTTCCAGGGGATGTGACAGTCTCTCTGTCCTCGTCAGCACAGGTGCACTTACCTACATGCAGGCAATACACACATACACATAAAATAAAAATAATAAAATTTTTTAAAATTTAAAGCTAATGTAAACAGGAAAGATTACAAGAATATTACACTAAGCCTGTCTGCTTCTTAGTTTCAAATTTTTATTTTTATTATATTTATTTATTCACTCTGTGTGTGTGCATATAAGCATAAACATGCCATGCCATGTGTGTTGAGGCCAGAGAACAATGCAGAGGAGTTAGTTCTCTCTGAACTCAGGTCCTTGGATTTTGTGGTATGAGTCATCTTCAAAACCTGCCTTCTGCAAGTTTTAAAGCCATCTTTAAGCTGGCTAACAACCAGCACAGCGTCTTCCCCTAGTCTCTGAAGTTTCCATACTGTCCCTCATGGCCACTCCTACTCCTCACTATCTTCCGCTGCAACCCTGCCAAACGTCTCTTGCTTCCGGACCCCAGTATACACTTTCACATGACTGTCTCTAATGTGCTGGTCCTTCCTGGAAGTCTATAACCAATTCCTTTGCCCTCTTTACCCACTGACCTGGTAAACTTTACAAACTTAGACTTTACTCAGATTTCATCTTCCTAGATGGGCCACTCCCATTACAAAGCCTACTCCAACAGAGCCAGTGTTCTCTGCTGTCTACCTCAGCAAAAGACACAATGTGCTATTTACATGATACTATGCAGTTTATTCACACACCCATCTCCACTTCATCCAATAATTACCCTTATTAGAGTGACCACATGAACTGCACAGTTTTAGTTCTCACTTGGACACACCTGGGAAGAGGGAACCTCAGTTGGGAAATTTCCTCCATCAGACTGGCCTGTGGGCTTTGTCTGTGAGCCATTTTCTTGACTGACGAGTGACGTGAGTGGTCCCACCCCTGGGCAGGTGGTCCTGGGTTACATAAGGAAGCAGGTGGCGCACAGGTCTGAGGAGTAAGAGTGTTCCTCCATGGTCTGTGCTTCAGTTGCTGGCTTTGGTTTCCTGCCCTGAGCTCCTGCCCTGGCTCCCCTCATGACAGACTGTAAGCTTTAATGTGAAATAAGCCCCTTCTTCCATAAGTTGCTTTTGGTTAGTGTTTTATCACTGCAATAGAAAGCAAACTAGAATACAACATTATGCTCAATACACAAAAAAATTATTCAAAAAGTTTTGGTAAATATTTGATAAATATCTACATTCCCTATGGTGAATACATTGTAAAGACGATTGATCCTCATACCTGAATTTCATCTCTCATGAATCTATGATGAACATCTCTCCTTGCACGACTACTCATGCCTGCATGGTATGTTCCACAGGCTAATTTCAGATTCCAAAGTTCAGCAGTAACTTGTTCTGTTATTTTTCTGGAAGGACAATAGATGATAGTTGGACCTTCAAATTCCCAGGCAGAACTGTGGAGGGAGAGAGGAAGGGAGGGAAGGAGGGAGGGAGGGGAGGGAGGGAGAGAGAAAGAAAGAGAGAAAGAGGAAATGAGAATATTCAAATACATATATTATACTTCAGAGTAGTTTGGGTTTATCGTCTTTAAGCTTTCCTTTCTATTTTCTATTAAATAAAAGGAGCCAAAAAATGATTTAATCATTTGAAAATCTAAAACATAATGGAAAGACAAATATGGACACAAATTGTGTTGGCTTAAAAACCCCAGATTCAGAACGATTGGCCCAGATTGAACTTACAACCAGAAACCAGTTTATTTTAGAAGAAAACTTTCAAAATTTTATAAGCTATTGATATAAATATTTTTTAGGAAAGGAATAAACTAGATTCACAATTAGTCTTGATTTATGTAAAAGAAGTAAATCAGTAATTTTATCAGTACATAAAATATTACACAATTCTTACCCACTCTATGATCACTTGGTGATCTATAGCTACTTCAAAAAGCTAAAATTTAGCCATGCATGGTGGCACACACCTTTAGTCCCAGCACTTGGGAGGCAGAGGCAGGCAGATGTCTGTGAGTTCGAGGCCAGCCTGGTCTACACAGTGAGTTCCAGGCCAGCTGGGACTACAGGGAGACCCTGTCTCAAAAAGACCAAAAAAAAAAAAAACAACTAAATTTTTCTTAGAAACATTGCTTTTAAAAATATTTTTATTTATGCTTTGACAATTTCATAAATATATAAAAGTATCTTGATCATATTCACCTAAAATATTGCTTTTATAGTTCAAGGAAGCATTTACTAATAATCTTGAGGTTATAAATGTTATAAAAAAAAGCATTTGCTAAAAGGTCTACTGAAAATCCTTATGCTTATTAAAAGTGCAAACTGATTTTTGTAGAACATTGATTTAATCCCTCAATACACTAATTACATGACTATAATTATTCATGCTGGTTCAATCAATATTAAAAAACTAGTATTTTAGAGCTATTAAAACATATTTGGGGCTGCAGAGATGGTTCAGCAAGGAAGAGAGTTTGCCATGTAAGCATGAGGACCTGACTTCAAATGCCCAGCACACACATAAAAGCAGGCTTGGAGTCACATGCCCGTAACCCCAGGTTTGGGGAATGAAGAGATATGGCTCCCCAGAGCTCACTGGCCAACTAACCATCACTCCAGTCCCCACTGCTAAGCGTCTTATTGAATAATCCACACAAAGTAAGGCATCATAGTTGTCACACAAGCTTCCATATCAAAAATTCTAACTTAAAATTATCTCGAATACAGAAACAAAATAAGTTTAGTTTAAGGAATGCATTAACTTGGGGTTAGAGAGATGGCTCAGTAGTTAAGAGCACTGGCTGCTCTTGCAGAGGACCCAGGTTCGGTTCCAGCACCCACATGGCAACTAACAACAGTCTTTAACTCTGGTTCCAAGGGATCCAATGCCCTCTTCTGACCGCCACAGGCACTGTGGGACAGGGGTGAACTTACATACATGTAGGCAATACACTCATACACACAAAATAAAAAATAAATAATAAAAAATTTTTAAAAGAAATACATTAGCCAGACATGGTGGCACATGCCTTTAATCCCAACACCCAGGAGGCAGAGCCAGGTGGATCTCTGTGAGTTCAAGGCCAGCCTGATCTACATAGTGAGTTCCAGGACTGCTGGGGCTACAGAGAGACCCTGTCTCAAAAAGACCAAAAACAAAAAAGAAATACATTAACTCAACTGGAGCACAACTAAGATGCCTTTCGTCTGTCTCTGCCCTCCACATGCATGCTCACTCACACATGCACATACACAAACTTGTACACAGGTATACACTGTACACATGCACACACCACACACGGAGAAGAAACAAATCAACTCAATGAATATAAAAGTATAAATACTGAAAAGAAACCCTGAAGAATAAAAAGAAGAGAAGAAAATGGAAATAAAGGCAATATTCTTAAGTTTTGCCAACTCTCCACATCATGCCTGGGACCTGCGAGAGATATTCTGACTGCCTATGATTCCCAATACCACAGCTCTTCTTTTTTCTTTTTTAACATTTTATTTTTTAATTTTTTTTTGAATGTGTATCAGTGTATTGTCTGCCTGTGTGTAAGTGCACCCATGTCATGTAATGTCCACAGAGGTCAGAAGAGAGAATGGAATTCCCCTGGAACTGGAGTTATGAATGGTTGGTTGTTAACTGCCATGTGGGTGCTGGGAATTGAACCCTGGTCCTCTGAACAGTCAGTGCTCTTAACCATAGAGCTATCTCTCCAGCCTCACAGCTCTTCAGGAAAGGATTAAAATGGGCACAAAATCTTCCTGGACACGCTTTCAGGAAAACTATTTCACATTAAATATCAAGACCCTGGATGGTTATAAATATTAAAAAGCAAAGGAATCTAGTCTTCATTCCATAGCGAAGATTTTTAGAAGGGTACTCCCAGATCTAAGGGTGTGTTTGCAGATGACAAATCTGAAAGTCCTATTACGAATACATCAAGTAGCACTAGGAAGGAGAGAGATATGTTAGGAGAGGTAATAACAGCCTGGGCCAAAAAATAATCCCAATTAGAAGATTTAACATAAAAATGAGAAGAAAGCATTTGCATATTTGTAAGCCAGAAAATACCAGATAAAAAAAGGAAATGAAACATCACAAAAGATGATGGGGGGAGAGAGGTAAACATTTCCGAAAAACATTTTTTTAAAGAAGGAAGGTCACTATAAGGAGAAACAGCCATAGATATTGAAAATAATAAGTACTGGAAAGGATCAAAGAGTAGTTTGACTGTGGACACTTCCAGTTTAGAACAAATAAGCCTTTGGAAAGAAAAATTTTCCCTTTAGTGTAAAAGTCAAGTACACTGTATACAAAGAGGCCTCTGGAACAGCCGAACACTGTGAATACATTCAGTATATTCTTACTTTATTCCACATAATGAGAATAGCTTAATTATTATGTAAATTATTCCTTAACGTTCTCAAAAATAACTATAGGGATTCCTTAACCTACAACTCATCTTTTCTTACTTTTATCCTTTCTGGAAGTAGAAGAAACTAAAGATGCTCTAAGTTCTTATTTGCCTGGATTTGTTTTGTGTTTATATTATTAGAAGAAAATTATTTTATTTTGTTTAGACTAAACAACACATTTCATATCATGAATTATCAACTTTTCACTCAGCAGACAGATCAGAGAATAAGGCACAGGAAGGCTTCTTAGCATATAAAATAAAACATGAAATATATTTAACAAAACAAATATTAGAAGTTCTATTGACAGTTTAAGTAAAATAGAGATAGAGGTACCTTCCTGAGCAGGGACGGGATTTAACTAGCTCACCTGTATAAAGTAACTACAACATTCCTTGGGATGTGTACAGGCTCCATCATGTTTATACCAGGACCTTTTTAAAAAAATCCTTAAAACTAAGTCAATATGTAATTAGCAAACTAGATAGAATTCATATGAAAGGCTCATGTCTTATTTATTTACTTAGAAATTATTAGGAGTATATGTCCAAGTCACACAACAATATTTAATATAAACAATATCAGAAGAATTACTTCCTGGCTTCAAAAACAAAATGATTTAATCTAGGTTCCTGAATTGATTATATAGTATCAAACTTGACTTGAGCCACAAAGGTTAAATCTGAATCATATTAAAACATGTATTAGAAAGAAATACTAAAAAAACAAAAAAAAAATACAATCACTAATTTACAAAGAATTTCATCAATCGCTATAACCTTACCTTGGTTTCTTTACAAGAAATGGCTTTAGATCCTGAAGGATATTCCCTGTTTTTCGTCCAACTTCTAAATATAGATTTGGTCGATCAAAACTTGTGCAGGTAATCTGAGGGTTTTTCAGGTTTAAGCAGTGTACAATGTCTTCCCGGACAGAGGAACTTGCAGTTGCAGAGAGTGCAACAATTGGAACCTGAGTGAGGCACAGCGGGCTGTAAGAAGCAAGAGAGGAGGAGGCGATTTCCCCTGCCTTCTCCCTGTCCACACCGCAGGACTGTGTGGGAGGCTTTCACATTACTGCTTTGGTTTTTAAAATATTTGTTTCTTTATATAGTGTTGGGGACAGAAGTCAGGACCTTGGGCATGCTATGCAAGTGCTCTATGACTGAGCTACATGCCCTGCCTAAAAAAAAAAAAAATTACTTTTTTTAAAAAAGAAAAAGTATCTCCTACTTACTTATTCCTCAGTTTTCTGAATATCTATTTTTCAAAATCAGAAATCATTTAAATAAAGCACTAAATCCACGAAGTTTATGATGCAACTCATCTTGTCCTATTAAATTAAGCCTGCTGCCATCTACTATATTACTGCTATATTACTGCTAATATAACCAGGAATATAGTTTATCTTGTTTTTATAAGTAATCCATAATTCACAATTCATAAACCTTGGTGGGGTTACAATCTAATCATCTAGCTACATAAAGCATTCATCTTTTCTTTTCTCTGAGGAGGCACCTTCATAAATTAAACAAACATACAGCTTTCCAGATCTAGAAGCAATGCTCCCAGGGCCTAGATAATGTCTCTCCACTTTTACTAAGTTAATCAGCACCATACATACAAGAAATATGAAACATAGGGTAATAACTGATTCCTTAAGCAATCAAGTCATACTCTATTTTCAGTCAAGCAAGGACTCTGTGACAGGACAAGCAGTCAGAGCAGGAGCCCAGCAGGCCCACGGACAGCAGGAGTAGTTCTTTCAGAAATTCAAAGGAGAACCAATAAAACACCTGCCATAAAACAACACCTCAGGTTTTTACTAATATGATAATGGGAATTACGCTATGCTATAATGCCATTTCAGTGTTTTTAAAAATGGACTGTCTTAAAACTCAGTCCAAAATCATTAGCTATTCTATTGCCAAAAATACAGTTTTCTTAAAATATACTTTATTATTTGTTACAGATATAAGAAACAATGTCCTCATAAAACAGTTGTATGTTGAAGCTCACCCCCCAAATCGTTTAAACATTTACCTTGTACATAGGTATAAACTTATATGCAGTTTATAAAGAATCAGGTATAGAATTTGACTTAAAACAAAATACAATTTATTAGGGAATGAATATGATCAAAGTACATTATGAAAATATCATAATGAAACCCATTGTTTTTAACAATATGCACTAATAAAAAGAAAAAAATTCAATAAAAATACAATAAAATGTTACAGGTTTAGATTAAAAATTCAAGCATTACACAAATTTGGATTAAATTTTGTGAGCTTGGAAAAATAAACTTCATTTTTAGTCACAAAAAAGAATAGTTAAGTGACTGAAGGTGTATCTCAGTGGTACAGTGCTAGCATATGTAAGGCCCTGGGTTTGACCCTCAGAATAAAGATATAAATAAACTTTTATCAATATAACTTCAATGAATTAAACACTATCTTAAGTCATATAAAATCATCTAAATCAAAGAAACCAAGTAATTGGTATCATTTTTATATTGTTTATCCTTAAATTCTGAGGCCATCTTTAAATGCAACCCCAAAAGTAATTTCACTTACTTGTGGCACATGGGAAGTTTTAGAGAAAGGTGACCATATACCCTTGTTTGCTAGGCTGCTCCCAGATCACCTTGTAGTCACAGCACAGTTACTAAAAGTCTGAACACAACTTTTAGAGGAAAACTGGTCAGATGCTGAATTAACCTGTCACTTCCTTATAATGAGTTCTTACCTTAAGTTAGTAAGCCTCGATTTCCTTGGTGAGAAACACCAATTGGCAAAATATAATTATAAGAAATATAAATTAATCTTGTGACACTATACATTTAGGTAGATCTTAATCATATACTTCAAGACACAAAGACTGAGAAAATCATAACTATTCTGTTTACAAACTGGACCATGTGGCTATCTCTAACTCCACACAGTACACACAGAATTTATTTATGCCTCCATCCCAGTAATTCAGTATTTACCATGTGTTCTTTTTGATGGGTGCTGAGGACAAAGTAGTGGGGAAAAACAACGTATCTCAAGGATTTCAAAAATCCTCCTGCTAGAAGGCAGGATTCTGAGAACGTGTAGAACTTTCTGCCTAGTTGCTCTTTCTCCCAGCTCACTTTGTGATTCCCTCCAAATGGGATTCTATATGCCAAATTGTTTCACGATTTCTTTACTATTTTTAGACTTGTTATAATACAGTGTGAAGCACTGCAGGTTTGAACAGTTATCTAGTGTAGTTTAAGTTAGAACATTAACATCAAGATCAAGGAGAGAAATGAAAGTCCTACAACCAGCAGGTGGCGTTTCTCACCACTTCATGAACAGAGGATTCTTGAAAACACCAAGGGTTTAAAAAGGTTTCTCAGTCACTGCCTGACAACCTGCCTGGACTCTAAACAGAAGGACTATACTGTTTAATCACCAAGAGAACTGTAAATGATCCTGTGATGCTCATAACTAGACATAATAAAAAATTTAATTCCACCTGAAAAGTGTTCAAGAGCTGCATAAGATATTTAAAATTCCTTAAACATAATCCTTCTAGAATCAAAAGCCTAGGAAAGGATTACAAAAGCAATCTCCCTAGTTTCCAAAAGCTTATTTTAAATCATTCTAAATTAATGACAATCAGTCTTCCAGAGCATTATATATAGCAACTTTCACCATAGAAATCCCTTCTCTTTCTACTCCAAGTGCCATTAGCACTAGTCATCTTTCTGTACTGTATGTACCACTCTATACACTAAGAATCATTTGATACAACTGCCTCTACTTTTACAGGCATGAAGCTAAACACCTTCAATGGACTGTAATCTATGCTAAGAACAGACACTATGTTTTATACCTCTTTCAAATCATGTATTTTGAAATCAGCACAGTATTCTACTCTGTAACTATTTACTACCCAACTCTTATAATTACCTATGTGGGAAAGTTACTTTTCAAATTCTCAGCTTTCTAATCAGAGAAAATTTATTCATTCACCCAATTACTGAGCAACTACTATTAGTCAAGTACTATACTAGACTATATGAATTTTTTTTTAAGCCAAAGCTCCTTCCATGGTTTAGATAAGACTTGTCTCCCCCAATGGCTCATGTGTTGAAGGCTGAGTCTCTAGCTAGTAGATCTCATCACGGAAAGGCGATTGGATAATGAGAGTTCTAACCTAATCAATGGTTAATCCAGTAATGGAATCAATCTATAAGTTCATGGCATTCCTGGGACATGATGGAAACTTCTGAAGATAAGGTCTGGTGGAAGGAAGTAGATCACTGGACATATGCCCTGTGGACTATGGCCTGCTCAGGTCCCATTCTCTCAAGTTCCTAGTTATGAGGCAAACAACTTCCTCTGCCACACTCCTGCCACTGTGGTGTTCTCCCTTACCACACACCCACAGTAACAGGTCTGTGAACCAAAAGAAATTCTACTTCTAAATTGTTCCCCTCAGTATTTGTCACAGTGACAAAAAACTGACTAATAAAACTCCACACAAAGATAGTCATATAGACTCAGACAATAAGCAAAAAATTGCAAAGATATATGAAGAATGTTTAACATTGGATATGGAGAAATGACTACATATTTCAAATATGCCCAAGAGGTAGTTCCAAAAAGACCTGGCATTCTGAATATTGTATTGAAACAGACTGAAGAGAAAGAGTGAAACCAAGAGGTTATATAATAGTCCAGATGAAAGAAGACGGAGGCTAGCATGAGGGAAGTGGCAAGGATCAAAGAGAAGTGATTCGTTTCTGTACACATTACAAAGACCTCAAGAAGATTTCTCTGTTATCAAAATATACGGCAGAGAGCAGCAAAAAGAAAAGTGTTACCAGGCACGGTGCTATACACCTGTAATCCAGGCACTAGGGAGACTGAGGTAGGACGATCTCAAGATCCAGTCCAGTCTAGGCTATATAGCCAAACCCTATGGGGCTGCCAGTAAATAAGATGAGAGAGACTGAGGGAAAAGCAGGTCAGGGGTAGGTCGATTATTAGGAAATCAGTTTGGTAGGTTAAATTTGAGATGACTATTAGAAATCAAAGCAGAATGAGGCTGGAGTGATGGCTCAGCAGTTAAGAGCATTGACTGCTCTTGCAGAGGACCTGGGTTTGATTCCCAGAAAGCACATGGCGGCTACGAACCATCCTTATTTCCAGTTCCAGGGGAATCCAAAGCCCTCTTCTGACCTCCACAGCACTGCACAACACGGGTGCACTCACATATGTGCAGGCAACACACTCTTACACATAAAATAAAAATAATAAATAAAATATTTTTAAAA